TTTGAAGAGCTCTGGTGGCATAGTGCCTAAGGCATTTGACTGATAACCAGAAGGCTGGTGGTTCAAACCCACCAGCCACTCCTTGGAAAGAAGGTTGGGCAACCTATTTCCATAGTGATATCGCCTTGGAAACCCGAGGAGGGAAGGAAGGGTCACTACGAGGTGGATCCCACTCGGCAGTGAGTTTTTTTTTTTTAAGAGATGACTGGGAAGAAAGGCTTGAAATAAGTCACAGTCATGAAAACCCTATGGAGCAGTTCCACTTGGCACCATTGTGTTACCTGGAGTCGGAATAGACTCCATGACAATGGGTTTGGTTTTTGCTTCCCCAGTGGAACACATTTTCCATTGACTTCCTGAGAAAGGTGCCTGAGGCTTTGAAGGTGAAAAGCAGAAATTGCAGCCAGGTGGGAGTGTATGTTGGAGAGGGTCATGAAGTATCTGCATTATTATTAGGCTTTTATGATAAACTCTTTTGCTCGGTTAATTACCTTCTCAAGGAGCACTGGTGGTGTCGTTTTTAAGGGCTCAGCTACTAATTGAATGGTTTGGGGTTTGAACTCATGGAAGAAAATACCTGACAGTCTGCTCCGGTAAAGATTACAGGTATGACTATGTAGGGAGGAGTGTGCCCATGACCATGGGTTGGTAAACAATGTTTCTACAAGTATTTGTAATGTTGTATAAGAATTTCTAGGTAAATAGTACAGCTGACAAGGGACAAGGTTGTAGTCATTTCTTGGCCACAGCAAGCTACCCAGAGGGAGCAAGTAGTTGGACCTGTGGGCTCTGGACTATAGTAGCAGGGGACATCAAGCTCAATTGGCATAACATACTACACAAAAACATTGTTCTACATCCTGCTTTGGTGAGTAGCGACTGGGACCTTAAAAGCTTGTAAGCGGCCATCTAGATGCAAGGACAAATCTCTCCTCATCTAGTGCAAAGAAGAATGAAGAAAACCAAATATTCATGGAAACAATTACTCTAAGTGATGCTACCCTCAGCCTATTCAACTATGAGACCAGAAGAACTAGATGGTACCTGGCTACTACTGTCAACCGTTTGGAGGGGGACCTATGTAGAAGATCCTGGATGGAGTGGGAGAACAATGTGGAACAAAAGTTAAAATCATAAAAAAAAATGAGGGACCAGGTTTGCTGGTCTGATAGATCTTGGTGGAAATGCTGAGACTATGGCCCCTAGCTGCCCTTCAGGTATGAAGTTGAACCCACTCCTGTGGCTTCCAGCCAAAGAAAAGATAGGCATATGAGCTGAACATTTACATTGGGTAGATACACTCCTTGGAGAGATCAATCATGGGAGAATAGAAGGGCTGTGTATGCACAGGGAGACAGCTCGGGGTCGAGGAGCATATGGGAGGGAAGAACACAGGGAAGAGGTGGCTATGGGGAGTAAGTGGGAGGAGAGTGTTTGCAAAGTGGGAGATTACAGTCAATGTCATGAGACAAAGTGTATGTGAACTGCTATATGGAAGATTAATTTGCTCTGTAAATTTTCACCCAAATCACAATAAAATTATATATGTGTGTATATATATGTGTGTGTGTGTGTGTGTGTATATGTGTGTGTGTATATATAATATCATAGGCTGGAAACACTTCAGATAAAAAAGAAAAAAAGATTACAGCCAAGGAAACCATATGGGGCAGTTCTATGCTGTCCTATGAGTTGCTATGAGTCCGAATCCACTTGATGGCACCTAACAACAATTATCTTTTCATGCATATGAGATTTAACTTTTCATCTGATGTTAAGCTTGTTGAGGTCAGAACAACCCTTAGAAAATTTTTTTTTTTGTTTTTTTTTTCTGGAAAGAACAACATTTTCTTTACTCTTATGAGGTAAGTGTGCCCAGCATACAACACAATCTTCATGTATTTGTTGAAGATCTTTAACTTTGTATTTTTGTGGTCTATAACATTGCTGGCATATAGTAAACATTTAAATAATTGATACGTTTACTGAATATATCTTGAAGTAATTCCCAAAGAGAAATCAAACATTTAAAATATCACCTTTATAGAATTTTAAAAATAGAATACATTATATTTACTTGGAAATAATATCTAGATGAATGTAAAAGGGATGCTAAGATTTTTTTTTAAAAATTAGACCCTTACTGACAATTAAAAATTAATGTTTCTTTTCTTTTTTTCTTTTGGTGAAAATAGACACAAGAAAACACACACATTCAACAATTTCTACACATACAGATTAATGCCTTTGGTTACATTTTTCACATTGTGTTACTGTCTCTACCCCTATTATTTCACCACCATTAACTTAGGCTCTCTGTGCTCTGCTGTGCAGTGCCTAAGGCATTTGACTGCTAACCAGAAGGCTGGCAGTTCAAACCCACCAGTCACTCCTTGGAAAGAAGGTTGGGCAATCTACTTCTGAAGTGATACTCCTTCGGAAACCCAAGAAGGTGTCACTATGAGTTGAGACTCACTTGACGGCAGTAAGTTACTGTTGTCAACTTCATCTCATACAATTCTTTAAAAGAGAACAATGTTCAAGGGTGAAATTCTTGATTAATTAGGTTAAACGGTGTTTAGTTTAAAGATAACTACATGGGATGGTTTTGGCTCAAGGTTTAAAGTTTATTTCAGGAAAATAAGATTTGAGGTTTCTTCATTCTCAATGGACTCAGTAACCACTCTTCTCATTTGACTTTTTGATTTCAGGTTCAAGTTGGCAGGTCTTGTTTAAAAGCCCAGCTCTCCAGGCCAAAGGGGACCAGCCCTTCAGTATTCCTTGTTGTGATCTTTTGCCCCAGTTTCAGGAATGTCATTGCATTTGTTTTTTAGAAAATGCAGCTGCTGGTTTCTAGCCTATTTAGCTACTCGTGAGTCCAGTGACAACTACTGAGGGTGAGAGGGGAGGCAGATGTAGGAAATACCCATGCTCAGAAGACCTCCTGGGTAACTAGGGTAGGGATAAACACATCAGTTGGATGTAGAGTCATTCCCAGGAAGTATTCTGAGAAGTGGGAGGTATAGAGCAAGAAATCTGTCCTGGGATGTAAAAGTAGGGGAGGCTTTATGGACTTTTTTGATGGGCTGATAGTGAATTAATTTCACACCAGGCAATTGTTGTCAGTTATTTAATTCAAATTAAAAAAATATCCTTTGAGTTTCTCCTAAATCCAAATAACTGTGCTAGATTCTAGGGATAGAATACAAAGTTAAGTAAGACACAGCTCTTGTTTTCAATAGAATTTACCACATATTTCCTTATCATTTTTCTCATAACCCACTGTCTAGACTAGCCATGTTGCTCCCCAATGTACAACTTTTCAATCACTTTCCATTTATTATGAGCAGAGTACAAATATCTTTGCATGACTCCCAAGGCCCTTCATGATCCAATTCCAATCTGTTTTCCCAGTCTCTTCTGCTTATGTGCAACTTCTGCGTATATCATGAATGGGCCATGCCATCATATTTTCTTTTTTAGTGATATCTCTATCTCTATCTATCTATATCTATAAACACAACATTTGCCAGGTCAAAAATTTTTTTTGAGTATATAGTTTAGTGATATCAATTACATTGATCATGTTGTACAACCATCACCCATAACTGTTGCCAAATTCTCCATCACCATAAACAAAAAGTTACTGCTTCCTAAACAATCTCCCATCAACATATACTCTTACAACTCTGGGCCAGTGCCTCAAAATCCTTCTCACTCTTGACAACTGGTGCAGTGCTTAAGGCATTTGACTGCTAATCAGAAGGTTGGCTGTTCAAACCCACAGGCCACTCCACAGAAGTAAGACTGGGCAATCTACTTCCATAAAGATTTTGCCTTGGAAACCCAGTGGAGGTCGCTATGAGTCGGAATAGACTTGATGGAAGTAAGTTTGGTCTTTTTTTTTTTTTTTTTTTTTGGTCAACTCCTCTATGACATATTCTGTGGCTTCTCCCCTATACCTCAAAATGTGTTAGAAGCCCCTCTTCTGTATCTTCTTTGTGCCTATCACTATC